CTTATAATTTTTATCTTTTTTCATTTACTTTTATCCACAAATCCCCCACTCCACCTGTATGTTAGAGAAGTTCCGTGACAATTTGTAAATTATCTCAGTCCAAACGCAATGCATGTCATGATCATATAGTAGTAACATTACGCATTTTCGTTTTTTTCAGCACTGATAACACATTACAAGTAAAATTTTAATGACACTTTGAAGCATAATCATACAGAATTCAATTCTTTCATCTACCTGATAACTGATAAAAATGTCATCTAGGAACATTACTGTGTAATAACGACAACTTTCCTGGATCGAAGAGATAAAAATCTCAATAATAAACACTCCCTGCATATTTAACAAGTAATTACGTAAGCTTAAAGCCTAGTAGAAATACAAGGGATGGATTACAAATAACTCGTAATACATCTAACTTAATGCAAAGAGAAATTTAGACTTGTGTGAAGCGAATGGGACACAGTCATCGTAGTTGGTAATTTAAGTTTCATGACTTTACCATTTGAAGTAGAAATATACATATCTCTCTTCCTATCTTTAAGAGATGTGAATCAAGTGTAAATGTCAAATGTTGGATTTTTAGTGTAATCATTCTTTAGCAATGTTAGCAAATGGACTGACCAGCTTTTGGAAATTATTGGCCTAACAAATATTACAATATAAATGCTTAATTTTACTCGCCATTCATATTAAATCCACGGACCTAAAGGTTGAAAATATCGTTAGCAGCAAAAATACCCAGTTGATAATTCAATGCATTGTACTTGCTATAGGCTTAGTTCTTAATTTATTGTTTCGTGTTGGTTTGTTATATATATAGTAAGCTTCATTAATTAAAAAATTACTTTCAAGTTCTGACCTATATATATATATATATTAGCTCATTTTTGATGAACACCTTTTGAGTAAGTGATTGAACAATTAAGTATATTTTCGAAGCGTTCTCCAGCGCTTGCGGGTTATCCGTGTAACGGTCAATGACCCCCAAAATATTGCATGTTTATTTGTGTTTCAGACTTTCGCGCAAAGCAATACAAGAGCTATCTGCGGGTAGCAAGATTTGACCGTCACTCCTATAGGGCACCCATGACCCTAAATACGGAACCTGTTTGTGTGTGTGTGTGTGTATGTGTGATACTAGGAAGCAAACTATATACCCTCAGATTCACACTACTCCCAGCTCGCACGTACCCCCCCCCCAAAAAAAAAACACAAAAAACACTCATAAGACACAAGAAATTGGAAGGCAAAATCTAGTATTCCTCATGATATTTTAAAGGAACAATATTTTTTCACTCTTGCACCATCCTTTTGAAAATCGGAATTCTACAAAATCCGAAAAGCTTATAAACTATAGGGAATTCGTATTACTTTGTTTTTCATGCATTCAAGTTAACAGTTAATCGTTTAATTTTCTTTCTTTGTAATTCATAAAAACCTTTGGATAAGTACAAACTAATTATAAGTCACTGAAAAATCGCAAGCAACACAAAACATTTAGCACCTTACTTTCCATAACCAGGTATTTGAGCAATCATAAAATGAATGCAAAAATTATAATAATTTTCTTCCAAGAATTCGATATAATTACTGAAGCAGAAATACCACATTCAAGTCTAACGAATTACAAAAGTGTTGGTTTTTGACCACATTATTATTCATCCAGGTTAAATTGGAATTACAATAGCCTTGATTCTGATAATTACAATTTAAAATTTGCCGTCATTAAAACAAACTTCTCATATCTCTTAATCTGGACCTTCAAGAATGAAGCAATAGAATTATTATTATTATTATTTTTACGCCTAATGTTGGTAAGGTGAAGCAATATATAATAGCAATAAATTCAGTAGACTTTTATGGATCACCTATACAGGCTGAATTATATGTTGTACTCAGAAATATTTCAGGTTGACAAAGTGCATTGAATGAAAATATTTTATCACAACAGCAACGCTCTAAGCAGGAACAATTATAAGGTTGTGGTTAATTATTAAGGAACTATTACTGGTAAGCTTAGTTACTCGACGCCAAAGAACTACATATAACATTGACGATAGTTTGTTCTATCTGCGTTAGTCGTCACTACGTCTGAACTGATGGACAACTAGTTCATAGCACACACCGCTAACTCTTGGGCTACTCTTGTGTGACCAAATAATGGGATTCGCCCGTCACTCGTATAATGCATCACAACCCCAAAAAGAGAAAAGCACGATATTTTTGTGGTTACAAACTATGGACATTCGGACACACAGCCCGGCACGTTGATCATTAGACCGTGCTCGGCTCAACACAACAAAATCTATGGAATCAAAATGTTATACGAAAAGTGTTCGCTCGGATATCCTCAAATAAAAACGAAAATGTTTTTTTTACAAGCTGTATTGGTATGTGTAGCGTATCATTATAAGTTTCGTAAAATATATATACATGTATATATAGTATTTGAAAACTTAAAAAAGTGTGAATGTGATGACGTCAAGAGGTCCCAGTCGATTCGTTTTCATTCTAATGTCCACTTCAGTTATTGTGTTTGTTGTTAAGCACAAAGCTACACAATGAGCTATCTGTGTTGTGCCCACCACGGGTGTCGAAATCCTGTTTTTAGCGTTATAAACCTTACAGACTTATCGTTGAGCCATTGGGGGAGGGGGGCTACTTAATTTAAGTAAAACGCTAACTTCTGCCTCCCACTTACATTTCTTAGAAACACGTTAAGTATTTAGATATATAGCATCAAGTATGAGATATGAGCCCTGCTGAAAAAAATAAGAGACCAACTGCTTATCAATTCCGTCTCTTTATCTACAACCGAAGTGTAACACTCTGACACGTACTGGCGAGGGATTGGACAACTTCATGCAAGCAACTACGAAAATAAAGCAGATGACAACTGCATAAGCTGAATACATTAGTGTAACTGTTTTATAATGTACTGTTAGATATTTCGAGCGAGCCAGTAATTATTTCTGTAGTCAAACGCTATTTAGTTTTCACATAAGAAAAATATCGTTAATAATAATACATTTTCTAATCGGAATTTGTTACTGCTTATTCTACATCATTATTATTTATAAATTACTTTCCTACAAGTAACAATTCACAGTCCTTATTATTAGTCACATATTAAAAATTCTTTGTTGGGTTATCTGCACTAGCCGTCCCTAATTTAGTAGTGTAAGACTAGAGGGAAGGCAGCTAGTCATCACTCTTGAGCTACTATTTTAGCAACGAATAGTGGGATTGATCGTCACATTATACCGCCCTCACGGCTGAAAAGGCGAGCATGTTTGGTGTGACGGGGATTCGAACCGCGATCCATAGATTGCGAGTCGAGCGCCCTAACCACCTGGCCATGCCGGGGCCCTAACCACCTGGTCATGCCGGGCTCTTTGTTGGGAAGACTAATTTTTGTTTTAGCTGAGATATTTCAGGTTTCTATTAAAAAAAACAAATCTCTCAGAAAGAAAATTTTTTTTATAGGAGTTGGTTTACTTTGATGATTTAACTTTCATTAACTAGTTTATCGACTATGTCTCACCGTGCTTTACGTGTTTTTCATAATGAATATCATACCTTTAGTTCTCGGTTTGAGCACCTGCCAGTGTGTAGCGTTGAATTGTTTACTAATACTGATTACATTTACCGTAGTCAGCTTTCCACCTATAATTAAACGAAAATTACAAATAAATAAATTACGAAATATTTCTTTAAATACATTTTTAGAGGAGCATTGTCTGCCAAAAAAATATATAACATACTACACTGTTAATATTAAATCGTGACGTGTTTCTTGAGTAATTGATGCTTGCTGACAAAAGTATAATCATATTGTTATGTAATTTCTTTTTCTCAGATATCTAATCAAACATTCTACAAAAACATTACCTGATTTTAGATTTTATCGTACTCATCTAATTATTCTGAATAAATAAAAGTTATTAACATTTTAAAACTTTGTTAGATTCTGTTAACAATGTCCATTGTTAATGACTTTTTAAACTTGAAAGTGTTATATTTCCCAAGTTATAAAGTGATAAAATTGTTGTCTTTTTCTTTTTATGAAAGGTTACCTTTAGAAAACGAAATTTCGGTGGATATTATAAACATTCAAAAATTACAAACTAATATATTATAGTTTTACGTCTTTATAATATTAAAATTTAAAACAAAAAGGATATTTTTATATATTTCTATACCTTGACTACCCAGTGGACACTTTCTCGGCTCTGGGCACTCTGGACAGGGTGGACATTCTGGCTCTACGACCCGTGGGGGAGGAGCTGAATATAAAATAAACAATTTTACACTATACAACTAAAACACTTTTAATATAAAAAAATAATTAATCTAAGTTTATTTTATTAATGAAGAGTCACGCGTAACCGCGATTCCTTAGATCATTAAAAAGTGTTATTTTAATCACGGAATAACGACAAGCACCATATAATAAAAATACAAAACAAATTATATTTTGTTAACAACGAAGTAGCTTGCAGGTCTCTAGATACCACATAATAAAGAAACAAAACAAATTACTTTTTGTTAACAACGAAATAACGTGCAGGTCTCTAGATACCACATAATAAACTTACAAAACAAATTACTTTTTATTAACAACGAAGTAACTTGCAGGTCTCTAGATACCACATAATAAAGAAACAAAACAAATTACTTTTTGTTAACAACGAAGTAACTTGCAGGTCTCTAGATACCACATAATAAACTTACAAAACAACTTCGAAAATATACATAAGATGAAACTTTGTTTAGCTATGGACTGGCGTACATGTTAACGGTTATAAATGTGAAAGTATAGGTTAATTTCTCAGTGGAATAATATGTAAGTTAAACAAGAAATTGAAACCAAATTTTATTTAGTTCTTGTTATATCTATTGTTAACCCACAAGAAAAAGTAAATAACCTGCATTACTGTTCTGAAATTTTCTGACGTAAAAAACCTATATTTTGAAGCATTCTAGACTTGTTTGTGTTTAAGCGGATATCAAACCTCGATTTTTAGCGTTATAAGCCTCAAGCTTACCGCTGCGCCGCAGGGGGGTCAGACATATGAAGAGCCATTACGGATCATTGTTAAATAATTCTTATTTGAAACGTTTTTTCACACACACACACATCGATTCGTAAATTATTTATGGAAATAAAAGTGAATTCGTCTAATTATCTAATGTATTGTATGTTAGCTTTTAAATATAGATACCTCATTTAAAACTAAAATAACTTTATGCCTTACCTTTCCCGTACAATATGTACCTTCCTTTTGGTGGTTTTGTAGTATGTATAGAAGGGTCAATCTCTGTAAAGGAAATAAACATATATCAGGCGATGTCAGCTCTGTTACAACTTCACTTTTGACGAGTGTTTTTTTCAATAAAGGTTTGGTTTGTTTTGAATTTCGCGCAAAGCTACACGCGCTAGCCGTCCCTAGAGGGAAGGAAGCTAGTCATCACCACCCACCACCAACTGTTCGGCTACTCTTTTACCAACGAATAGTGGGATTGACCGTCACATTATAACGCCTCACGGCTGAAAGGACGGGGATTCCAACCCGCGACCCTCAGAACAAAGTTTTCAGTCATTTGGTGTTCTCTATGGTACAATAGAGTAATTTAGCTGATTTAAAAAAGATATGCCTGATGCTTTACCTTATTGTTCGTAAACGGCGTTATGCGTTGTTTGTTATATTGATTCAAAAATATTTGTTGGTTAAAACTCCGTGCATGGACTCTTATATGGAGTTATAAGCCTAATGATGCCCACTCAATATGCATTAAGTTTGAAAACTGCTGTAACATGTCACTCGATTTAGTTGATGGTCCTAGCTGGAAAAAACAAATCAAAACGAATCTATGTATAATTTTATTCAAAACAATATTGAATGAGCATTTATTATAGAACGTGTAAAACATTACTACAAACTACTTGGGCGCTTCGCACACTTGACAAACATTTCAATTCTTCAAATTTAGGACCCATGAGTTTCAGAAACCCTGATGTTATTGTAATGTTTTATCAAATATGAAGGAAGACGCTATTGAAACCTTAGTATAAACAGTGGAAACATATTAAACAGTTTTAGTCTCACTGTAATGTTTTATCACACGTGAGAAATACAATACAAAAGCCTCATCATAAACAGTGGAAACATAATAAACAGTTTTAGTCTTACTGTAATGTTTTATCACACGTGAGAAATACAATACAAAAGCCTCATCATAAACAGTGGAAACATATTAAACAGTTTTAGTCTTACTGTAATGTTTTATCACACCTGAGAAATACAATACAAAAGCCTCATCATAAACAGTGGAAACATATTAAACAGTTTTAGTCTTACTGTAATGTTTTATCACACGTGAGAAATACAATATAAAGGCCTCATCATAAACAGTGGAAACATAATAAACAGTTTTAGTATTACTGTAACGTTTTATCACACGACGTGAGAAATACAATACAAAGGCCTCATCATAAACAGTGGAAACATATTAAACAGTTTTAGTATTACTGTAATGTTTTATCACACGACGTGAGAAATACAATATAAAGGCCTCATCATAAACAGTGGAAACATATTAAATACTTGCAGTATTATTGTAATGTTTCGTTACATGCGAAGAAAGACGCTATTGAAACCATAGTATAAACACTGGAAATAGTTGACACAGTTTCAATCTTATTGTAATGTTTCATCACTTGCCACTTTTAATAATGCATGACTCGCCAGTTTCGGCATCATGGATAAAATAACTTAAATAAAACAATGATATTTAGTTACCGTAGACAGTGAGAATTCCACGAGTTTTTCCTTTGTGGTTTTTACTGACACATTTGTAAATTCCATAATTTTGTCGTTCGACGTACGAAATATTCAGTGTCATCTTGAACGTAAAGTGGTTAATCACTTCTTCTTTAATAGTGTATTTTGGACTTTGTTCCAACAGTCTGTCGTCACCATAAAGCCAGTAGTTGATTGGCTGAGGAAAAGCTTCGACGTAACACTCGAGAAATGCAAAACCTCGGTTCCTTGTTCCGATCATCGGATTAGCGATTTTGATCAGTGGTGAAACTGAAAAAGGAAGTTCATATATATAAACCAGTTTTTACACGAAAATCAGTTTTCCTACAACCTGACAGTTGAGAAGAAAATCATCAAAATAGGGGTATAAAATTATTTTAATTTTAAATATTTTATTGGAATATTTTAATAAACTCGTGTATTTGCATGGACATTTTTGTTGTTGTTTTATTAGCGCAAAGCTACACAACGAACTATCTGTACTCTAAAAGTAATAAATCGCCGAGTCGACTGGAATTTTTATTTCAATCTACGCATTATACTTAAATTTTTTTCCCACAGGAGGTGTTGTTAACTCGAATGAAAAAAAGGTAAAAAATAAACTTTAATTGATTTTCGTTTTGAAACAGGAATAAATCAAAAATAGACTCGATATTTTTATTAAGCAAGCAAACTGTTAAAGACTAAAAAAAATAGCAATTTTTGATAGCGTTCGGGAAACAGACACGTGTTTTTCAATAACGCAATTCCGTCTGGAATTAATCTGCTACAAGATTCGACGAAATCAAGATATCTTTTCTTCTTCTATATTTCTCTGATTATATATATATGGCGTTATCCAATTTCTCGGAAGTACTTAGGTGGTTAGTATTTCAGCTTGGTTCATTACCATTACTAAAATCCTATTTATATGCGTAAATTTTCAACCAATCTCATGGGTGTTTGGCCGACATACTACACGAATATGCTTTTGAACAGCTAAGACCCAAGCAGTGCAGAACACGTGGACTAAGGAATCGTTGAATTTCTTATTCTTGTGAGGGTAATCTTATGGTACATACATAGAGATGTTGAAAGGATGTGAGCACTTATGACTCTAAAAATGTGAATACATAATAGGCTATCTGTGCTTTGCCCATAGTGATTATCTAAACCCGATGTTTAGCGTTATAAGCACTCAGACTTACAGGTGAGTCATAGAGGAACAGTAAGAAGTTAGTCACACCACAAGTCGCAAGTATTAAAGAGAAGCTGAGTAGTTACGAGCATAACGAGAGATGTTGGTATACAATCTTGAACATTCTCCAATAGGATGTATGTATTACTTGGTAAGAAACAATTATCAAATTTTTTGTCGTATTTAAAAATCTCAGGCGTCGGAGGTAGTAGTGGTCGTTAAGTAAACTTCGTTTTATTTCCTTTTTTTATGTGCTCACCGTTTTCAAATTAGACATAAAATAATGGTCGAAAATCAATCTAGAAAAGAAGTGAAAACATTATGGTAATGTAGGGTAGTAACCAGTTGATGGATTCCCAGATTGGATTATGTGTACGTACTGCAGGCATTGTGTTATTTTTGACTTTCTACATTCTTTGTTATTTGATATAAGCATATATATTTCGGAATGTCTACAATGCGTTTGTTTGTTTGTTTTTAAATTTCGCGCAAAGCTACACGAGGGCTAATTTAGCAGTGTAACACTAGAGGTAAGGCGGCTAGTCATCACCACCCACCGCCAACTCGTGGGCTACACTACTCTAATAGTGGGATTGACCGACACATTATAACGCCCCTACGGCTGAAAGGGCGAGCATGTTTGGTGGGACGGGGATTCGAACCCGCAACTCACAGATTGTGAGTCGAGCGCCTTAACCACCTGGCCATGCCGGGCCCTACAATACGTTAACTTATCGTCTCATAAAAATACCGTTCTGTGCTACGGAACTTACTGATCTGTCACTAGTTGGTTTCATGGTGATAAGTCGCCGTATAAAAGATTATTACTCTGAACAGCCTGGAAAAAACTGTATTACATCTCCTATACAAATATTTACATTCACGTTACGTAATCAGTAATTTTGTACTAAAGCATAAATAAGGATAACTTCTGCAAAATTAGAAAGTGGTTCATATGAAACTCCTGCAATTTCCTTTTTTTTTTTTGTCGTCGTTTGCTTAATATTATGGGATGTTTACACATATATACTTAGGTAAAAAACTATATTATAGTAATATTATTTTTAAGTCAACATACATCACTTACAAGTAACTTCCAGCAGTGTGGTCCTCGAGTCAGGGGGAGGAACGCCGTTTGATGCTATACACAAGTAGGATCCCATATCATAACGGGTGACTCTGCTAATATTGAGACGGTCCCCTTCCACCATTGCCACTGAAATGGAATAGGGAATCACCAATTAATTCAACTCTGTGCTATCTGCCATTATTTTGTCTTCTTTATTTCAGATGAATTTCATTACAAAACATAAGCGTCTTTTTGTTTTTGAATTTCGCGTAAAGCTACTCGAGAGTTATTTGCACTAGCCGTCCCTAATTTAGCAGCGATAGACTAGAGGGAAGGGAGCTAGTCAACATCCCCCACCGCCAACTCTTGGGCTACTCTTTTTACCAACGAATAGTGGGATTGACCGTCACATTATAACGCCATTACGGCTGAAAAGACGGGCACGTTCGATGACGGGGGTTCGAACCCGCGACCCGCAGATTTTGATTACGAGTAAACTACTTATCAGACAAATTCAGTGAAATTATTATTTTTTACTAAAACAGAAAACCAGCAATTCACATTGAATGTGATCAAACAAAGTGAAAGATTTTGATTGTTTACTGATCGAAACACAAATTAACTTAACAAAAAAAACAACATAAGAAGTAAGCAGTTTTGAGCATAATACTAGGAAACACTACTGTATGTGATATATTTAACTATGAAAGTTACTTTTACGATGAAATAGAATCGTGTATTTTTCTGTTACATGACTTTGGCTTGTTGTTCACTGAATGTTCTGTTTTGAGCGTAGATATGAGCATATATTGTTTCTAATTGCCTTAAATTAAACCAGTTAGGTTGAAGTGAGGCTCATGACGTTCTTATTTAGCCAGTATTAACGCCACATGGGGTAAATTATTTGCTAAAACTAAACATTAATGTTTCGTTATTTGTATAATTTTTATAAAACTTATACGAAATCAAATTTACTGGGTTAGTACTGTACGAATTTTGGGTTAACAAGGTATGTTTTGAAAACTCTAATTATTTTTCGTTATCAATAAAGTTATGTAAAATAAAACAAATCACGTGTAACTACTTTCTGAAAGTTTAGTAAAGTAGGTAGCATCAGGAAATAATGCAAACGAATGATATTACGAAAAATATGTATTTTTAAGGTGTATAACACCTTCCTATTGAACTTCTAAATATCCTTGATATTAAATTGTCAGAGAGTTGAACTTGAAAAGAATTAAGTGATTCCAAATATAAAAAAATACGATCTTGGGAAAGTTTATATAAGTTGTATCAGTTTCTTGGAGTTAAAATCTGATCGTATAAGTTGTATCAGTTTCTTGGAGTTAAAATCTGATCGTATAAGTTGGATCAGTTTCTTGGAGTTAAAATCTGACCGTATAAGTTGGATCAATTTCTTGGAGTTAAAATCTGACCGTATAAGTTGGATCAGTTTCTTGGAGTTAAAATCTGACCGTATAAGTTGGATCAATTTCTTGGAGTTAAAATCTGACCGTATAAGTTGGATCAGTTTCTTGGAGTTAAAATCTGACCGTATAAGTTGGATCAGTTTCTTGGAGTT